TTAACTAAAACTGTTAAGTTATAAAAAAAAAGTACAAGTGAAACAACTGGCTTATTCTTAGGTTCTTTTCTATGAACTCCCGAACAAATGTTAGCTGTACAATAATGCTAGTTAATGCATGTTTCTAAATACTTTTATTGTTAATGCATAGTTAAGTTACTGAAGGAATGAATTAGTATTTAGTACTCTAGAGTACAGAACTTGAAAGGGAAGAATCTAAGAGACAGGTTTGTTATTATCTACTTCTTTAAATGGTTCCCTTTGCATGTTTAAAGATATCAAGTGACAGTATGACTACTTGAAGGCAAATAAGTAGTTCAAAAAGAGATGAGAAGTGACAATTTAATTTTTTACTACTGATTAAAGAAATAACGATAGCTTTGGAAGAACACTTTAAGAAAGGACCCAGTTCCTATCCCATTTGTGATGAGGCATGACGCACTGGACAGTAAACCTGGAAAACTTGCAGATCAAAGTAAACAAGCAGTACTTATAAAAGCCCAAAGTTAGGAAACCATGGTAGATTGGGAAAATCGCCACAGAATGATAAGTAGAGAGGCTTCTTGTTTTTGTTAGACAATGCACAGATAACTAAATTAGAAGATAAATGTAATTATTAGCAGAAAGCAAGCCTTGGGATCCAGAACACACTCCAAAAATCTTTTCGCTTCCTACCTTGTTTCTAATTAAGAGGATAATTTGTACTTATTGAGACCTAGTTGAAGATTTAGCAACAGCATAAACCTTTATATCACAGAAAATTCTCCATCACATCTTCACCACCAGCAGTTTTTTTTTCAGTCAGGAAGAATTATACCACTTTTATAACATAATGCAGACCCTTAAACTAGGGTCAAAGGCCTAATTTTTAAAATGTAAGAACCACAGTATAGTTTTGTTAGATTGCCAAGTATCAACTTTACTTTTGGTACAAGCACCCTTGAATCAAGTCTGTATTTTGGTTTTGGCACATAGTTAGTAAAAGTTCTAATTTATATAGTACCAGTTTTTTTTCTTTCTTCTGGCTACAATCCCAAGACAACATTGTTTGAAAGGCAACTGGATAAACTGAGGTGCTGGAAACTTTTAGATCTTCTTTCCTATAATATGCTGCTCCGTCTCCCTACTTTTAATATATCTTCATAAGAGGGGGTGTGTCCTAAGCTGGGCATGGCATCTTGTTCCTATAATCACAGCTGTTCGGGAGGCTGAGGTGGGAGGATTGCTTGAAGCCAGGAGTTCTCGATCAATCGGTCTGGACAACATAGTGAGATCCCATCTCTACAACAAAACATCAGCAACAAAAAAGGGAATGTGTCCTGATGAAGGCAGCAGGTTTGAATATGCCATATAACCAAGAGAATACATAAAAGATACTGTGATTTATTAAAACAGCATTATTTTCTCCAGAACCTCCTGCACACTACCCATATTTTAATTTCAGCATCCATCTCAAGTTGCATACTGAAAGGTAAAAGTGCAATTCAGTAATCTTTTCCAAAATGTTTTATTGCTACAGGTTGAAACTTTTCAACCACCAAAATTAGAACATAATTTAAGTTTCTGCTCACTATGGTGTAACACAGCCATTTCATGGGACTTTGTTTTTAATGTAGGTTGACAGTAGAGTTCAGCAAAGTTTAGACGATGGCAGAATGGTATCATGAAATTTTGTCTATAATTTAAAGAAGTGAGGCATGAGCTAGAATAAAAAGATTGCCTTGTATCTGAAAGGTCAGTCTTTCTTTGAATTCTCAAAGATTAATTTCAAAACTTAAGGCTTTAATTACCTAACACAAGTATATACCTATCTTGCATCAAAGTCCAACATTTTACATTACAGCTTTTCCCAAACAAATACTACACATGGTAACCGAAATATTCTTAGAAATTGTACAAAAGACTCCCCTGAACTTATCACAACCTACCTGAATCTGGACCACACTTTTTTGATCTCTTCATAAAGTCACGGCTTTCATTTCACTGCTCTAATAGCAATACACCATGGAGTACAAACAACACTGTGAAAAACAAGGGCCTGATTAAGCCCACAGGAAAGCTCTTCACTAATACTGGCATTACCTTTAGCCATGCTGTTAGAGTTCACACTTTATTTTTCTGAATAAATAAGATACAGAAAAATGTTGAAATATATTATATGACTCAACTATCTAATTAAAGCTGAGTAAACTAACCTAGTCAGATTTTAGTTTTTCAACGAGAAATGACAAGAGTAGCTGCATATAAAGAAAAACAAAAAGAACTTTACTTTCCTATATTAATACAGGTCAAGAGACCCTTTCTTCTCAAAAGGGTTGGTAACACCAGTTCTTAGCAATAAACATAAGGCACTTAAGATTACAACATCACTGCATTTTTTCCACTTGTTTTTCTAACCCTGTTTTTCCCCCACAGTATCATTTGAAATTAATAGGATGAATGAGGCAAATATGAGATGATCCAGTTGATACTACTCAGAGCAAGAGTACAGTACAGTGTTTCAGGGGTGATGTCTGGACATAAAATGAACCCAGTCAAGGTCCTCTGACACCAATGTATCCACTATCAAGTAAACCTGAAAGAAAATAAAAGATTTATTCAATAGTTCCAGTAAAATTGGGTTGGAATACAATATACATATTACGAATTTAGCTCCTCACCGGTGGCATCTGCATCTTAAGAGTTCTGAGTACTTATGAATATTCATTCTAAGACAATCTACATCATTTGAACATTGTCAAGACAAATAGATGAATTTCATTTGAATATACAGTAGAGTTTAAACAAAATTCACACACATACCCCCTATTATATGGCTGGTGCCTCCTCCAAACACCTCATTAGTGGCAGAGGTAGGACTAGTGTTCTTTCCCAACAATAAGAACTTCAGTTGCCACTCATAGGAGTTGAAAAGAAGTTGGTTTTTTTTTTTTTTTTTTTTTTTTGCCATCTGTTAAGATGTTCCTGAGACAGGGCCAGTTAATAAAACATAACAAAGCACTGGAGTTCAATTTGTACTTCTCTTTACATCACTACTAAACTGTTAGACTGGGATGTGGAATGCAGGTCATGTACTATGAAGGGTTGATCGTAGCACAGCTGTTCAATCAGTAAAAGATCTTCGGCAAATTCCCGTTAGGGTACTCTTTCTATAAACTACATGTTCCACAAAAAGGTCAATTTTACATACAATTGATTCATTTTACTTTATCTTATTTGCTCAGATCTTGCAAATGCAATCAGAATATTAAGCCTGAGGCTAGTTTTTAGTGTATAGGTTTAACATATTAAGGCTCATTTACTCAATCAAACTAGTTTTTAGTATTCCTTTTAAATTATAAATTACATTCATAGTACCTGCCACCATCCTTGCCCTCAATGAAATCTTACTGCAGGAGCAGCATTCTACTTCATTATGGAATTTCCCTGACACCAGCACTTAGTCCCTTCTAAAAAGCTCCCATCTGTTCTAGCCTTACAGCATATGACACTGCCTCTGGTTTGCACCTCTGTTTCCACCTGTGTATTTCACAGAAGCCCAACACAGATTAGTTGAAATATTCACACAACTGTTTTTCAAAACAATTTATTGCATCATATTTGGTACCTTATGTTTGACAACAAAAAGGAAATTACATCTGTAACTGCAAGAAAAAGAAGCTGGTCTGTTATTTGGAAAAAAAAAAAAAAAAAAAAAAAAAAAAATCTTGGGCCCTTTAAAAATTACAAAGTCTTGGGCTTGCCTGAAACGACTGAGCAAGAAATATATTCTTAGAAATGTAGGGCTTCAAGTATTACAAACCTGTGACACTGTGGAAAAATTCCAGAGGTATCTAAACTGCAGCACTTTTTTTTTCTGCATATCGTGAACAAGGCCTGCTGAGGTTTTTAACTATTAGTCTTTTGATCAGTCATAGAATGGTAGTCAGGAGTTCTGCTCTTTAACTTCAAGCCATGGTAGATTTTCCTTTTTTCACTCTTGGGTGAAAAATTCATGCTTGCTAATTAGTTGGTGCCACATCACAGTGCATTTGGTTCTTGCATTACAGTTTTAACAAGTTTGGCCAAACAATGCTGAAAGGTTTGCATTGTTGTTTTAGTTCTTCAAGTTTTAGTTAAAATTGAGACTGTTACGACTGGTTCCTTCAGTTAAAAACTGTGGTACAAGAACACCAAACTGATCATGTACAGTGAATTTTGGAAAAACGAGCATATTGAACACCTTATAGGTTTCTTATAATTTTGCTTGGTATCTATATGTCCCAGTTTCTACAACATCAAGCATCTGTTGTAGATTTCTCTGTAAATAGTGATTCACATTGCATACTTCCTATGGTCAGAATCAACCCCGTAACAAAATCAGTCAGATGCTAAAGCCCCAACAACTCTTTGTGCTCAGTGAAAGAATCCAGTGCTAAAACAGCATTTATGCTGTCTGAGATATAGTAAAATCTCACAAGACAAATTTAAGGTAATATTTCTGCCACACACCTGCTTTGTTAGCTGTAACAGCCTCCAGATTTTATATAAATTAGTTTAAAAACATGGGTGGGTGGGTAGGAATAGGATAAGGTATCTTTTTTAACCACTCAATTTTAGCAGCTTTAATTTTTTTAAGAAACTGAACCTCTATCCTGTAATGTTAGATATTTTATATATACTTTTTCAGCAGGATAAAAAACGTAAAACACTATTTGAAGGCAAGAACATTTACTCCTCTCATTCTGTGTAAGTTAGAGCAATGCAGCAGGTGCGTGACAAAAATATTATATACTAGATATGGTCCAAAGTCATTCCATTTGCTTGTTTAGTGATGTTCAAATTTCATTGGCCAGTTCTTCAGCTTCTGCAGAACTATCTCCATTAACTGTGATCTTCATATCCTCTTCATATCCAGGAGGCATGAAAGCCAAAGCATAAGGGAAAAGCTTATGACAATTTGCTCTATAAACTTCAGCAGCTTCTTTACAGTCTCCTAGGCTACCATCACACAAGGCTTCCAATACCTCCATACATGTCTAAGGAAAGAAAAAAAGTCATGTTATAACTGGTTAAAAAAAGTTCTTACTTTGAATTTATTAGACATTTCAACAGCAAGGGATTTCTAAAATAAGAAATAAATACACATATTTAAGGAAAGAAAACAAAGCTGTTTACTCCTGCATATACATTCCATTAGGATTTTCTTTGAGGCCTAATTTAACCATTTCTCCAGAATTGCAAGGTTCATAAAAAAGGCTAAACAGGGACAATTGTAGAAATAGGAATGGGACTTTGGTGAGGCAAGCAAGGTATACAGCGTGCTTTATTTAAAGAGGCACTCACTCTCAGTAAGTGTACCTTAGGCAGCAATGTTACCTCAGTCTAGCCTGGCCCTGGGTATAAACATCTAGACTGACAATGCCAGTATCAATTACTGCACATATGCCTTTTAATATTTTTGAAAGCTTACAGCCAACTAGCATAATCAAACACTGTATTCAACTTTGTGTTTAAATTAAAGAGCATCTTAAGCCACATCCAACTAGGCAGAAAAGAGTGTCTCAAATATGAAGTGATTATTTGGAAGAAAAACTAGTTCATGAAAATGAGTAATTCTTCCAACAAAACTCCTAAGTCTGCTTCTAATCTTTTTTATTGACATGTTGACTTGCATTTCTCATGTTTGCTTTCTTAATATTTTAACTTAGAAAACACTACTTAGTTTCCAGATATAAAAAACCCCACAAACTTTGCCAGGTTACAAAGCAACTTAAATCCAGGTTACAAAGGACCTACATTAGAAATTTAAATCCAGGTTCTAATCTAAATGGTATAACTAACAAGTCTAATTTTTCCTTTCTTAAAGATATTGCCTTCATTTGCTATTAAATATATTAATAACTGTCAGCATATACACATTTATCTAGCAAATTATAACATGAGGTAGCTATCCTATGTTATAGTTTCTAGTTTAAACTATAGCATTTTGCAATACACCCATATCAACTTTTGCTTAACTTAATCTCATACTGTATTACAAGTTAGGAAATGGGTATTTTTATTTAGCCCCTAGTAAACATATTTTTTTTGAGACAGGGCCTTGACCTGTTGTCCATACTGGAGTACAGTGACACAATCACAGCTCACTGCAGCCAACCTCTCAGGCTCAAGTGATCCTCCCATCTCAGTCCCCCAAGTAGCCGGGAATACAGCGCCACCATGTCTGTTTTTTTTTTTTTTGTAAGAGATGGGGTCTTACTATGTTTCCCTGGCTTGTCTTGAACTCATGAGCTCAAGCGATCTGCCTGCTTCAGCCTACCAAAGTGCTGGGATTACAGGCCATGAACCACAACGCCTAGTTGAAAAACATCTTTACATCAGAATCTTCATTGAGACCACTGCATGCTCAGAAATACACAGGTATGAGGCGAAATCCAAAAATGACTATGGAATGTATACATGATTTTATTAAAACATATTTCTTAAAAAGTTATTCCAAGCTACAGATGTGAAACTAGTTACTGAATGCCAAGGAGGCTGGTGTGCGTATGTACACATACAAAACTCTAAATAAATTTTAAGGTAAGTTGTTTTTGACACAGATTCATAATGATTTAAAGAACAGTGTGTGTAAGTAACAAATTATTTTTCTTGGTGAAAAAAGAAAAAGTAGTTCAGTATTCTTACAGAGAGATTATGGAAAACTCTTTACCTGGAGGTTTCTGTTAGTAAGAGATTCATCAAGTGTTGTTGCCAACTCTATTGCTCGCTTCTGACTAGAAGGCTCTAAATAATATACCATTTTGGCAGCTAAATGAGAGGGAAACAGGAAATTTATTTCAAGGTAAAACCAACATCTTATCCTCTACTTAGATACAAAATGCAAACAAGATATATGTGCACAGAGGATGTGGCACTTTATTAGAAAAATGGGAACAGCTACTGGAGACACTTGTTTTTAAAAAAAAAAACAATTCTGAGAAGATTAGTTTAATCATCCAAAGTAAGAGAACAATTAAGGTATACCACATATATCTACCCAATAAAATAGAATGTATATGCAAAACATGCACAGTAAAGGAGACTATGAAGAAACACAAGCATTCTAGTAATACTTGTCTTTTTGTGGTGGGACCGTGATAGTCTTCTTTCTGAAATAAGCAGAATAATTTAGGGGTTTGGGGACTATCCCATCTTGACAGTACGAGCCAAAATGCTGAATTCAGGATTCCACAAAGGCATACAAAGCTGGTGGGCTTAAGCCAGGTATTTGAAAAGTACTACCCACATGGTCCCATAAAGTCCAGATTTTGGTTCAGTGGCTCAGATCAGACCCTTGCCTTAGATTTCTCACAAACTCGGAAGATAATTTCAGGTGTTTAGCATTGTCAAGTCTGATACCTACATAAGAATGAGAAATGGAAAAGGATGGTCATATCTGAGTGAATATTAAGAGCCCAATGATGAAAGAAGAAATAAAAGAAAGCTCTGTCTTCATTTTATGATATACATTTAAGTTCAGTTACACCTGCTTCTTTGTAATGCCAATGCTGAACCAGAAGAGACTACCGACCTTGATGTATAGTGATTATTTTGCCGTAAGAAATTTTAAAATGTGTAGGAAGCATATATATATATATGTTTGTTTTTGTTTTGATTTGAAACAAGATCTCATTATGCTGCCCAGACTGGTCTCAAGTGGTCTCCTGGGCTCAAGTGATCCTTCTGCCTCAGCCTCCTGAGTAGTTAGGACTACTGGTATGTGCCACTGTGCCCACTTATTTAAATTGCCTGTTTTCAAAGGGTCACAATATAACATATACACATTGCCTCTTCCATTCTAAAAATGCACCTTATATTATTGTTGATTCATTAAAATAAAGACTGAAGTTGTTTTAGAAGGGTAAGAAACAATAAAATTAAGTGATTACCTGATAATCTGTGTGGCAATGAATCAGAATTCCTTTTCAGAAAAGTTTCATTAAAATTCTTTGGATTCGTTGCTCCAAAAAGACGATTCATTTCTTGTTTTAATACTGTTCTAACTGTATCAGGTAAATCTTTACTTTCACACACTGCTGAATAAATTAAAAATAAAACCTTAGCAGTTAAATACTCTGATAAAGTTTACAGAAGTTTGTTTTTGTTTGTGTTTGACATAGGGTCTTGCTCTATCACCCAGGCTGGAGTACAGTGGCACAATCATGGCTCACTGTAGCCTCAACCTTCCAGGATCAACCAATCCTCCCACTTCAGCTCCCCCAAGTAGCTGGGACTTCAGATGTGCACCACCATGCCTGGCCTGTAGGAGTTAAATTACCTAATGATGAGGCCAATGAAACATGGCAATTATATACAAAGACAAGATAAAACCTACTGATAATTTAATATTTGCAAAAAGAGGTTACCTATATAAATTGATTGAGACAGACATGGTCTTGCTGCTGCCCAGCTGGATGGAGTGCAGTGGCACAATCATGGCTCACTGCAGCCTCAACCTCACCAGGCTTCTGTGATCCTCCCACCTCAGTCTCCTAAGTAGCTGGACCACAGGTGCAAGCTACCAGGCACAGCTAATTTTACTATTTTTTGTAGAGACAGGTTTTCGCCATGGTGCCCAGGCAGGTCTCAAACTCCTGGGCTCAAGCAGTCTGCTCGCCTCGGCCTCCCAAAGTGTTGGGAGTACAGGCATGAGCCATCATGCCCAGCAATATACATTTAAAAGAATATATGTCAGCAGAAAAATCTGATGTTCTAAAGGCATTTAAAGAATTTCATTAACACAAGGTTCATTTCTAGAAAGGAACTGTAAGCAAAGTAGATGACAAAACATGTAGTTTCACAGCCTACTAAACCCCAAGAGCTCCTCCCCTCAACCTATGGTCTGCAAAGCAGCAACTTGAGAACACCTACCTGGTAAATACTAACACAGCCACTATGTAGTGCTGAAGACAACAAATTTTCCTCACCCTCCCTATCTTCTATATCCAAGTAAGGCACATGTTTCCATTAAAAACAGAACAAAACAAAACATGGCTGATATCACTAACCTTTATTTCAGAAACTATATAAATTCAGCTATCACTATATAACAAACTCCCAAGGACCACCAAAGCATTTTCCTGTTAATAGGCTGGGCACCGTAGCTCATGCCTGTAAACCCAACACTTTGGGAGGCCAAGGCAGGTGGATCACTTGAGGTCAGGTGTTTGAGACCAGCCTGGCCAACATGGGGAAAACCTGTCTCTACTAAAAACAAAAAAATCAGCCTGGCATGATGGTGTGCACCTGTGGTCCCAGCTACTCAGGAGGCTGAGGCAGGAGAATAGCTTGAACCTGGAAGGTGGGGGTTGCAGTGAGCCAAGATCATGCCACTGCATTACAGTCTGGGTGACAGAGCAAGACTCTGTCTCTAAATAAATACATACATACATACATACACACACCGTTGTCATCATATTCCCAGGCCTTGGGATTTGGAGATGAAAAAGCAGACCCCAATGCCTCTGGATCGTATCCAAGTTATGTTTCGTTTCATTATCATTTTGGTATAAAGAGAGAGTCTGGAGCTTTGAAGCCAGAGAGACTTGGGTATAGATCCAGGCTTGGATAAGTCATAACCTCTTTGAACCTATTTCTGGATATATAAAACTGGGGCGATATCTAATCTAAAAGGTTTACAGTAAGGAAAAGCTACTGTGTAAAAGTGCTAGTTATGTAACAGGTAGACAACAAATCTTAGTTACTATTTTTATCACAGTATGAAAACATAAGTCAATTTTCCTTATGGCTGGCAACTTTGGTGATGGCTTTCAAATTTTCACTTCAATCAGATTATTTGTACTGTGACAAATATATATTCCATTTCCGTAACTTAAGTGAAACAAAAGTTTCACAGAACACTCACTGTGCACATATGCTGATCTTTTCTACACTATTCCATTTCTATTTTGGGTTTTCAAATGCTAGTAATGAACCACTATTAACTCAGTTCACTATCCTGCTAAAGGATCAATAGCCTAAGTTTAAAAAATATACTGAACCCAGTAGGAAGCATTATCTAAGTGAAATATTCTACACATAAATATTAGCTCAATAATTCACCAACATGCTCTTGGTTGGTTAAATAGCATTTCTTCTATTATTCTATAAACTAAGTGGTTCAAAATAAATGAGTTACTAGTGAAATACTTTAGCTTAACCTCCATCATGGCTGTACTTTCAACTTGGTTTTGGTAATTTATCAATGCTTGTTTTTCAGAGGAGAAGCAGGAATAGAGAGAGAACAGAGGAAAAAAGTTATTAAAATAGGTCACAGCCAACTGCAATGAACATTAAATATCTCAAAAAATATGTATCTTCTGAAAAATAAAAATTATTTACATAGGCTTTGTTGTTTTGCCTGAAATGCTTTCAGGATACTTTACATGTACAAAGTATCTGCATAGTTTGTATCATAGTTGATAGAAAGAGGGGTAGGCAAAGGGTCTTTATGGTTTTCATTATCTTTTTAAACTTGTTTTAATCAGATTAAATGGTCTCCCAGAAAAATTAAAACTGCTAAAAAAATATTCTACAAAATTAGAAGCAAATAACTTCACTAACAGCTGATTCCAAAAAGGTTGAGGCACACTTAGTTTTCTTCTAAACTTTTCTGGATATTTTCTTGGAAATTACAGTTCCAGAAAACTAGAGCTATAATTTCCAGGAAAACATCAATTACAAAAAGGAAAAAAATTCTACTGCAGTAAACCCCAGAATGTCCTATGGAATTTTGTGTAATGAAACTTTACCTGTACCTTTAAGAAAAGGAGCAACCTCAAATGTCACAGATTTGACACAAAAATCAGATGTCCTATTACTGCTAAAGAATAGTGGGCAGGGGAAAAAACTCTAAGTCTTTCAAAATGATAAAACTGACCAAAAAACATCAAGGCCTTAGGAAGTAGAAAACCTCTTACTACCCAATTACCTTCCACAGCAGAGTAATAAGTTTTGAGAATCAAGGACAAGTAATAACTGATGGGTGAGAAGGAAGAATAAAACCATTTTTAAGAGGCTTCGATTTGGGTCCTTTGACATCTTAAACTGGAATGTTTGGTTCATGCTGTTAGCTTAGTCTGAATAAATTAAGCAAGCACCAGAGGTTAAAACACACAATGAAAAGGAGGCTGATTCTTAGCAAAAGGGATTGCACAGGGTTCTCGCGCTAGCTGGCATTGTTAATAATTTGGGTAGAAAATATTCTTATTTTGTGTGAGGTAATGACCGTTCACTACTAGGTTACAATACAACTTAGTAAGTGATTACAACTCAAAATGGCAACATAAATGAGATTAAATAACGCTTTAAAAAATTAATCAAATTAGGCCG